TTTAGTCGGTTTTAGTATCTGTTAGCAAATGCACACCGCCATGCTTATTTAACTCCACTAAAGCGAAGCAACAAATATGCATAGTAAACACAACATTTTGCTGAAATCCGCTGCTATTTTTTAACCCAGACCGCGTTTTATTTAATTGCCACATTACACCCAGTTGACACCCCTGGGTATCATAGCACCGCATATACATATGTATATATTTCTCTCCATATTTATCTGTACCTCACCGAGTTAGCCATACGTGTAGCTGCGTATGCATGTGGGCTTCGTGTGTTTGGATTTGTACACCGCATGACTTCTTGTTTGCGTTACTTTTTTATGCCACAATTTTTTACCACCGATTTCCATGTACGAGTACCAGTACCGGTACAAGTACAAATAAACTCACATTTTGATTTTTTCCCCAGCTATTTTTTATGTGGTAAAAGTAAACGTTCTTATTAGTCGTTTTGTATTTATTTTTTCTTTTAATATTAAGCAATTTTTACTTGCAGGTAAATAGCGCAATTTTTATTCCCTGTTTTTCCAGCGACTTTTTTTCTACTTTATTTTTCATCATTATTTACCATAATCAGTCTAATTTACTCCATAGGTGTTCTGTAGGGAATATGGCTTTGTATTGTTTTTTTTTTTGTGTGTTTTTTATGTGTTTTTTCTATTTATATATACACAAATATATAAATACAAATGTATAATAAATCCGTTCTTCCAAATGTACCCGGATAGATACTCGTATTTGTGCACTCTGGAATGCTCCTATTTAACCTGGTAATGGATTATGAAATTATGACGCCGCAAGGAAGCATAATATTTTCATTTGTCATGAGATATTTTTTATTTATTTATTAAAATGTATTTTAATTTTTATATTAAAATATGTACTTTACAAATGAAAGAGTCTGTACATTGAATAAAATTATGAATCCATAAAGAATAAAATTTGATACATATTTCTTTATAATTTAGAGTAAGCATCGTACTTTGTTTAAATGTTAATTGGTAGTGATTAGTGTACAGATGTACAGATATTTGAGAAAATTAATTCAAGTTACTCTATATTTAAATCAGATAATTAAATATCAACAAGTAAATAATATTTACTTTATAAATTTTTAACTTTATTATGATATTAGCATTTGGTAAAGAGGTTTCAAAAAGTAGTGAACTACAACAAGAAAAATACTTTAACGTTATTTTAATTAATTGTATAATTTTAATTAAATAATATTTATATTATTTATTTAAAACGAACTTTTTTGATTAAAACGTTTTTGATACATACATACATACTCAAAAATCTGAAATATGTATGTATAGGTATACCCATGACATTATTGAAATTATAATTTATTTATTAAAACAATTTAAATTAATTAAATTAATTAAAATAGTTAATTAAAATAAATCAATTATTAGTATAATTAATAATTAAAAATTAAAATCTATTCAATCTGATTTATTAAATTACTAAGTGATTAATTATATTTACTTTAATTTAATTAATTCAAATAATTTATTAATTATTTTAGTTTATTGCATACTTTAGTTAGTTAATTAATTAATGAATTTTTAAATAAATAATAAATATTTAATTGCTAAATAATAATTGAATTTATTAATGATTATTTACTTCAATTAAAGACTAATTAACAAATTTAACTAATAAATTTTTCTGATAACTAACTAATTAAGCTAATAAATATATACTTAAAAGAGCTTTTATTTTTTTCAAATTTGTTCTTATATTTCAACTGATTAAGACTGATTTAATACTGCCTGTATCTATGACGCCTGTGTTTTCAAAGTCATCTAATTCTTCTACGATAATGGATTAAAATTACAAAACTGAGGTTTCAAAGAATTAAACTTGGATACAAATATACAGATAAACATTTTCAACTGAAGCACTTTCCCTTTAAATTCCTTCCTTCTTGCTCAAAAGGATAGATTTTACAATTCTTTCTAAAAATCATGCTGTTTTGAAAAATCCGCTGTTAGAAAATACTTCTTAAAGTTATGTCTCATCTGAAAACACGAGAAAGAGAGAGAGAGAGTAAGAGAGAGCGAAAAAAAGGGGAATAAAGAAGAAGAGGAAGGGGAAGTTTCAAAACTAATATATTGGCTTATCTATTTTGTGGTTTATAATTTAAAAAAGAATTTTCTCGGGTTTGATTTGTTCACCATGCTTCTGTTTCGATACATTGTTTGATATTAAGTATGTAATACATCATTATTACCAAACATGCAAATGTTATCTGTAGACATTTTACAATACTACAATTAGCCAGTAAAAAAATATTTTAGTTCACAAACTTAAGGGCTTTTTAAATACGTTGAGTAAATCTCATATATATAATGTACTGTACTATATTTAATAATAATATTATAAACATCGTATATACAATGTCTTTAGTTTTAAACTTTAAAAGTATTATTGTCAAAATATATTTAAATTATTTTTGAACTTAGTAGGTTTTGTATTTTTTGAGTAATAAATTTAACAATTATATTTCAAATTAAAAAAATTTTATTACACATAAGTTTTGAAATAATTCACTACTTGAGACTTTTATTCCTGTATTTTCTGTAATAATTTTTATTAGCAATCAAGTCTAAAATATGGATATCGAATGTACAATATGCCGTGCAGAAATGAAGAATTCTACAACTTTACCATGCACCCATAACTATTGCAAAGCATGTATCGAAATATTTGTGAGCTATCTACAACAAAAGGGCCGGACTCCATTTTGTCCAGACTGCAGAAACTTGTTTAAAGTGACTCCCGTAATTATTTCTGTTTCAGAAAATATTTTTGATATCTAAATTTTCTTTATATATATTTATTATTATTTTGCATTCAGGAAGGTTATACGGCTTTAACTGATCACGAAATTAAAGATATGTCCGATGACGAAGACTTTGTTTTCTATTCAGATGAGGAAGATATAGACGTCCATGCTTAATTTATTACACATACATTGAATAAGTTAGCTTAACGGATTAACTAATTAGGGTATGACAAAGTTTAAACTATTCAAAAAATATATATTGCTATATATATAAAGTATATTTGAGAACCACCTATTTTCTTATTTTCAAAAAGTAATTTATTTCAACAATTTTTTTTTGAATATCGCTTTAAACTGAATAAAGACCTTTTTTCTTTTAATTTCAGGAGGGTGGTGGGTGTAGGGAACATTCCAACATGCAGCAGTAATATATACACATCTACTGTTATAATATATAGCCTTAAGCAAAACAAAATTAATCTATAATGTTGCTCTTATACTTATCTAGTCTTAAGTTTTAATCGCAATTTCATGGATTAGGCCTAAAGGGGACACCATGTAAAAAAAAACGCTCCATGCATTCTACCTCAAAGGTGGTGTGGAAATGAATGCCTTTAATATATTATTAAAATTAAAAAAATTAATAATTAGCGCAATTAGAAGCAATTAATTTTCAAAATATTTTTTTTAAAAAATTACTTTTTATGACATTGGCAATATAATGAACGAACTCGATTTCATTTAGTAATTTTTGTGTAATATATATATATATTTATTAAAAAGTTACTACTGTGATCTTCTCACAACTGTTTAATTTCAAAACCTTTTGGTCACAGTGAAATATATTTTTACTTATAGAGTTGTGAAAATATGGCTAAAAACTTTTTTGTGGACAGAGTCCATTGCCTAATTTAATTAGGTGCTACATAATTATTCTAATAGGAAATCTTCCCGATATTTACCAGGTAAAAGTACTTGTATATGAAATATACATAATAAAAGGGTTAAAAAGACAATAAAAACTGCTAATAATAAAGTATTATCTATTCTAGTAAACAGGTAGCTATTTAATCTCAATAATCACGGGCATAAAAAACGGAAACTGAAAAAAATCTTACATATGAATTGCCTACTACGAATAAACTAACAATCATCAGGATATTTAAAGTATTCAGTGCCAACGGAACGGTTTGCGAAAGAAGATACAGTAAATTTTTTTATATTTATTTGTCACACTGCTTTAGCACAAAGTTACATCGATTACTAACTGTTTTAGCAGGCTTGAACCAACTCTGAAGCCTTAAGACTAACTGCGCGGTTTATTTGGCATAATGTAAACATCTTCCGCGGATTTGATGTCTGATGTCTGTACTCAGATTAATCGCTGGCTTTTTGAATGCAGATTCTGCCGTTAACTATCAACTTTTAATAATACAACTAAAAAATATCATTATCTATAGATTCTATTAAATGTAGAGTATGGATTTTACCGACCTTAACTGCCATTACCAGACAATTACTCCAGTATCTATAAACTCCTTTCATTGAGCAGAATCTTATATTGAACTGATAAATATTTTAAGGCTTGTTAGATAACATACCTTATCAAAACCTATACCCTATACACGTATAGGGTATCTAATACTTTCCAACACATCTCAAAGATTATGATGTCCCTTCTAATAATAACAACTGGAGTTGTGGTTCGATTGTATTTCAGTCTTGTTAGTCATACCTAGTAAAAAATCATACCCTCTTGATGTTAGCCTAAGCAACTTTCCAATAAATCTTAAAGATTATGATGACTTTCACAATAAGAACAGCTGGAGTACAGGCGCACTATTGTAAAAAAACAGTAAACTGTAGGGACTTTAATATATAATCCTTAGATCATAAGATAACTTAAAAGATGCCATAACCTTTAGAAAAAGTTATGGTACTCAACAAAATTATGGTTAAAAATATGTTTTTCTGTGTACAGAACCGACTTTTTAATATACCATATTGGGTATTGGGTCTGAGACTGTTTTGCACTAAAAAAAATGTAAAATCGTGTGTTCCGGAATGTTTAATATTTCATATATTCATATATTTAGTTACTAAATAAAAGTAAGAAAATTTGGGTAATCATCACAAACGATAATAGAAACTTCATATTATTGAAATATATGATAAAATTATTTTTTATTACATCGATTATAAATATATATAAAGCAAAATTTGTTAATGACTAATAAGTCGGTATCAGTAAATTTGATATAATTTAGAATAAATTCTCAAATTTACATTCTTTAGTAGGATCCAAAAGATCGTTCTTATCAGAAGTCTCAAAATCAAAATCGACACGCCATTGACCTGTAGTTTGTACTTCTGCATAGATTTTATTGAGTTTAGCAGTATCCCGTATACATTTTCGTATTATTTCCTGTTCTTGTTTCTTCCCTTCCACACGTAATAATTCGTGTGCCAATTGATGAACCAAATCTAAGCGAAATTGCTTTAAGTTCCGGAATATAGCGTCCGTCAATTTTTCTAACGACGAGATCCAACTCTTGTACATATTAATTTCTAGTTCCACATTGTTTTCTGACAAAGTATTAACATCAGACAAACGTCTGCGATAAACACCATCTAAATAAGCGACTAGTTTAAATAAAGATCTTTTCTTACGGAAATAATTCGAAATATGTCCACAAATTGTAGGATTAATTTCCCCTTCACGTAAAGAGCATTCAGCATTGATAGAATTAAGAATCTCTTCACCAGCACAAGCAGAACTAAATTCCGGTTGATATTGACTTTTGCCCATAACACGATCAAGATCATTATTATCATCTAGACCGCAGATTTTTACTGTCTTATCTAAAAATATTCTTGTTAAAATTAGGTCTAATATGAATGAATTCACAGAAACAACCTTCTTCAGATAATTTAGTGGAATTGCATGTTTGAGGAGTCATACTAATTTTAAAACTTTCATTTACAGTATTGGTATTATCGAATTCAGCAAAGTTTTGATTAGTATTCAATACATTAAGAGTAGGAACAGAGTCTGAACTTTTGGCTTCGGAAGAATCACTCAAATTAAAGTCACTAATTAGCACTGCAGTAATGTTGTCTC